AAAGTTGACTATAACTTTTTGCAAAGTTTTGTATTTGTCTGTTTTTTAGATGAATGCAAACACAAGTGCTTTGCTGAGAATGAATTTGCCTGTGTTACATGGGTTGCTGAGAATGAATGGAATTGCCTGTGTTACATGGGTTGCTGAGAATGAATGGAATTGCCTGTGTTACATGGGTTGCTGAGAATGAGCTGTGCCTATTGGCAATCATTTCTTTTGTGTTTACCACCATTTTAGGAAAAATTGACCCCTCCCTTTTTCCTTACGGCTTGTACATTTAAAGAAGACTGCAAAATGAATTGGTCTAAATGTGGTAATCAATATAAAAATGAGTTCAATAATTCAAACAAATTTTGAAAAAAAAACTCTAAGATATAGAGATTTTCCAAGCGTAGCTCAGATGTGGCACAAGTCCAAAAGTATGGGGCACCCAGTGAAAATTGAACTCACTACTCAGTCATAATTGTTCTAGCTAATCATTACACCACGCCAAAGTGCCCAACTCTAAAATATAATTGCTTTGATTCACGCTCTTTTTTTTTATACTGTTGTTTTACATGCTAAAATACTCTAACAATCTATACCAAAAAACAAACATTGTTTTCATGACATATGAATCTTGTTTTTTGTTTTTTTTTAAATAACTTTAATTATTGAAAGAAATCAACATTCTACAAATAAAGTATATTTAATGTTTTGTAAAAAATTTATGACTATGTACAATGGTTCTTAACACAAACAAACATTGATATTCTCATTAGTATTTTTTGCAATTAGATAATCAAATAAAAAGAAACAACCTTTTAACACTATGGAGGGCTATAATGATAAAATTACAATGCCAGCAATAATTAGAGCCACAGTGATATTTATTACTATTTGTTACTCACAGCTATAGTTTTTAAAGAAATACTGTCCATTAAATGAGATTCCTTATGATGAAGTAACTGGTGAGAAAATAATTTTTCAACACCTATCAAGAGAAATATTTCCTTTGCTTACTATTTAGTGCCATTGTTTTATCATTATTCCAAGGAATACAGATAAAATTCTTCGTAATGTTTTGTTTGTAAAATTGATGAAAAATCTGTAACATTTATTTTACTGTTCTCAATAGTCATTACATTTTCATTTTTTTTTTAAATATTTATAATTATGCATCAGAAATATTTTCCTAATTTTAACATCATAGCAAAATTAGCTAAAATTCAATCTTGAAATGTAAACTAACATTTTTAATTTTGCCCAATTCATAGGATTGAATGCAGTTTAAATTCTAAATTCTTCTTAGAAGTATGGTAGGCTATAATGATAAAATTATGACACTGACATGAGAGTTAGTCTGCCGAAAGAATATTGGTCATGTTTGGCAACTTTAAAATTTCTCCATGTAAGGAAGATATCGGTTAAAAAATCCGAGTGATTAACAGAAACATTTACCCCCACCCAACTTGCACAGTGTGATGAATTAGTCATAAATAAAAGTAATAAACTTCTAGCTCTATTTTAAGGGACCCATAGAACATAAGTCTTCTAAATGTCCCATTGACAAAATCAACAAAAAAATTTAAATACTTTTTTATTTTCAGTACACTCAATGAAATACAAGGTTTGCTGAAATGGGTATTGGAGAAGCTTGAAAGTATTTTTCATGTATTTCTCCTCTTTATATAAATACTAAAGCTTACAAATTCTGAGTGCTTACAAATTCTGAGTGCTCTTAAATAGAATCGGATGATTATTCTGGATTTTATTTTGTTATGATGAAAATAGAAATTTATGAGATCATTTTTTTCTTCTAAGGGTGTACAACTTACCAATTCCACTTGTTTGATATCCATGCATGGAAACAGGGAATGGAAAATGAGGACAATGCTGAGCAAGTTACCCTCATTCTAACATGAAGATGAAGTAAACTCACTTTTGAACTTAATCTTGATATTTTTTATTGTATTTCATCAAGTAGATATTACAAGTATACATTTTCTTGAAAATGATTTAGTGTTAAGAGCTCAGTTTATTTGCAAATAGGCATTGAACTGTAACCCTTGTATTCTCCAGTCAAACATTTTAAACACTAAGCTACCACCAAGATTTTCAGGAGGTACTGCTAAACTTTCCCATAGTTATTTAGCAAACACTCCTAAGATTTGTTTGTACCAATTAGGCATGTGTTAATAATTTTTAAATTCCCTCTCCTTGTAAAATTCAGATAGACTTCAGTGTGTCTGAAGAAGTTATTTTTTAAAAACAAAGTAAACTTGTTTTTTTTTCAGCGTGGATAGTCCAAAAGCAGAAATCAAATAAATCACATCCTGTGTGTGTGTGTGTGAGAGAGAGAAAGAGTGAGACATATCTTTTCCACCCTGGCAAAAAAGCTATTTCCTTTGGTAGTAAATGATTTATCTATGTCAAACAAATCTTTCTAGGAAGTGTGCCATTTATAAATATAAACAGTAATACAATTCCTTGCTTTTATTGAAAGGAGATCTTTTTATGTACTTAAGTTGGTTGTCTGATTTTTTTTTTCTTTTGCATATTAAAGACATATGCACAGAAAGGTGGTGAAGATGTTGGTGCTTACTATGCTTGTGTGGGGGTATCCAGTAAAGACTAAGCTCACATTAAAATAATTATTAATGACTCATTAGGTTAACATGTTAACCATTATATCACAACCAGTGCTCTAAAACGATCAGGGTATTTGAAAGATTCCAAGTTATTGAACACTTTTGTCTTGTTTAGTTTCTGGTCTACATACAAGGATATTATTATAATATTTCCAAATTTTCGATGTTTTAAAAACAAAAGCATGAATTGAATATATGATTAAAGATGAAAGGAATCTATTAAAATGCCCTTTGGTACTTAAGCAATCATTATATTGAAGTTAGTTTGTCATAAAACAACATTCATTTAATTTTTTTTTAATCATTTCACTCCAAACAAGGCAATAATGCCACTAAGATGCAAGGGACTACTGAGTGTGAGAGAATATGAGAAAAAGAAAACATTATTAAGGAGAGATAACAATAAAATAATAGGAATTAAGAAGACAGAAAATAATGATTGAAATTGCATTTAAATTTTTTGATATCAAAGATGACTGTAAAAGCCAGAAGAGAGTTCCATAAGTGAGATGTTTAAGAGAACTTTATTCTTTCTATATTTCTGAAATAAGGTATTGTAACTATTTACACTATTTACATTGTTCAGACTGTTATCCTCATCTTTATTGTTACATTAACAATGTCTCAGCTGTTGTACACTTTGGCCTTCTTCAGGTGATATTTGTTTGAAGTGGTGGGTGGAGGAAATGGAACTGATTCTCAGTGACTTTACTGAGCAACCCAGAAGTGTGAAGGTTATATGTCAACTCATTTCAGGAAATAAACATGGGAAGAATGTCTACACAAATGTCATTGAACCAATCTTCAGAAACATCAATATACAGATTGACTAATCTGTGTTCAGTTTGAAATTCAAATAAATATCACCTGAAGAAGGCTGGAGTATACAACGTGTAGCAATAAAGATGAGGACGACAGTCCAAACAATATGAATAGTGTAAATAATTTTATTCTTTATTAAATATATTTTAGCTAACAAACAATAGTCAGTTTATTCAATATGAAATTGTGTTATTTAAAGAAAACAAATTATAAGAATCCACAGAAAAACTTACTCAGTCAAAATATCCCTGTCAACTTTAACAAGTTTATTCTACATTGGAATTCTTTACTCAAAAAGCCATTAAATTTGTTAAAGCTTGCTTGAATTTGATCCTGTTTTTATCTGAAAAAAATTGGTCTAGATCAAGGGTAATCAAACTTTTTTTTTCGATTAGAGACCCCACTTGTTTCTATTCCTTCCCCAATGACTCCAATTTAAAATATCTTTGAACCTTAAAAGTTGCACTGTTAGTTGGTAACCTTCAGGGAATTTTGAACTGAACCCTTTATTTAATTTACAGTGGGTTGATTGTTTCTTGTTCCACTGTGTCCATGTCTAGGGATATCTCATCTTGTTGTCTATTAATATTACAATAACTGTTCAATCCCTGGGATGGGTAGTACAGACTCAAACAATGAATACAGGCTCTGTTAAATTTATTGCATCTTCCTTAACTCTTGTAAACACTTACTGCTCCTTTGAGATAAATGAAGACAAGATTCACTCAAAATCAAAGTATAAGGAATTTATTTTAATTCATTATGTTAATAGGTGGTTACTAACCTGAGTATGGCACAAGGCCACATTCGGTAGGCTAGTTGTGTCATTCAAATTTTCAAGTGGGGAGAACTTAAGTTGATATTTGACACTACTTCAAATAAAAGGTTAAGCAGGAAACCTCCATTGATAGTGGAAAGAGTAAACTGGAAACAGCTACTGGACTTCAGAAACCTTTTTTCCTTTTTTAAGAGAAAGATTTTATAAATTTAAACCGAGAATAGTACAAGCTGCTCAGCTAATGAATGCCAAATATTTTCTTTAACAGCTAATATTTTATTTGCCTTGAAAATTTACATTTAAAAAATCCTGTATTTTTGTCAAGACTAAAAGACTGACTTCTGATTCTGATGGATAGGAGAAAATATGATATGTTGAATATATTAATATAAATTGTAAATTGAAAATTCAACAAAACATACTAAATTTTCAGAATTTTTGGAAATTTTACAATTTCTAGAAATTCAGTGATGTACTACATTTACTAATCTATAAGATACCAAAGAATAAAAGCTAACTCCTCACTTTTAAATAGAATTCACCAGGTCTGAAATATGAACTATAACCGATCTGTACTCTCATATTTAAACTTTTCCACACTAAAGAAAATACCTATTTTTTGTTTGTTTATTTTTTTTCAACTAATGAATGTCAGAGATTGACAACTAGAGTCAATTTTAATTTTACATTACTATGAGTGTAAAGCACAATTATAATTTGTCAATTAAATATGCTTTTTAAATCATTTTTATTTCTTTGTTTTAATGTAGCCATCAAACTAATCTTCCAAGTGTTCTGCCTAAAAGAACCCAATAATTTTGGAATGCACTGTAGTCTCTTTCATATTGTAAGGCCAGAAAATATATTTGCTGTAACAATGAATAAGTGAAGAAAAAAAAGGTAAGTTTGTATTCCACTATTTTGTTAGATATTACATAAAATGGTTCAATATATCACAAATGAATATCTTCCTGTGTTTTATATATATTTATAAAGAAAGGGATTTTTTTTAAATTTATTAATTAGACAGATTTTTATTACTTATTTTTAGTAGATACTTGTATCTGAGTAAATGCTCAATTTATTTATTAAACATATTTATTTATTTGATTCTACCAGCCTGAATAGTCAAGAAAATCTTATTAGAGAATAAGATGCATTCTCCAGCATTCTTTGAATCCTGCCAAAGATTTATTTTGTAAAAATACAAAATTGTGGCACAAGGCTGAAAAGAGGGGGGGGGTGTAAGCTGAGGCTGGTCATCACTGCTATCCTATACCTAGCTAATCTGCTTCACGACCCATTAACATTACAATTTACCACATACACCAAAAGAATCTGTCTGTTATCAATGAAACCTCCATTCACCATAATGCCTCATACACTCAGGGGTCCTACAAAAACACACTCCATGACATGAAAATTTGAAAACTACATGATTTTTTTTCATTATTTTTTTATTAAGTTAAAAAAATAATTTGTGCACTTTTTTTATTGGTGTTAGATTGATTTTTTTTTCTTTGTGAGCATGTGTGTGTGTGTGTGTGCTGCCTGTATATGTGTATATGTGCACATCTATAGAATATTAGGGTTATTTCTTTTCATACTTTTCTTGTCTCCTTATACACACTCATTATTCCTTTTCTCTATCTTTCAGATCATATATATATATATATATATATATATATATATATATATATATATTGAAAAACCTTCTTTTAAATATGTTTCATTGAATTTGATAGACAAGGAAAATCTTAAAGATTAATAGTTATTGCCCCAAGTGCTTTTGGCCAATTTATTAACCATTCAAGGTGTTCCTTGTTAATGTTTGTGTTATAAGGTGTATTGTGTAGAAATAGTACTAAATCATAATCTGTGTGAAAAGATGTGGCATGACTTTATGTTGAGGTGTCTTCTTAGAAGACCACCAACACATTTAAAGTAAGATTTTTTCTTGCCTGTCACATTCAATAAAAAATATATATATATATATATATATATATATATATATATATATATATATTTTAATATAGGAATATTTGATTTCTGACCATGAGACCTAGATTTGAATCTCACCATGGTCGATTTGTCAAGAAGATATCTTCTTGATGTTATCCTCCTTGGAAGGTGATCCCAGCATATGTCACCTTTACAAAGTGCCTGAAAACCATGCCAATGTGTTGACCTAGGTCTTGTGAGTTAAATTAGGCAGATGGAACTATTCTGAGGCTGTCAGTGGTTGTCCTAGCAGAAAGTCACAAGTCATTATGACCAACGGTTTGAACAGTGTACTAGCCTTGTTTGACTTGTTGATATTGGCAGAGGATGTACTCTCTCCCAGAAACTATAACTAAGGTTTGCAAAGCATAGTTGCAGTATAAATCACAAGTGGGCTCTGTAGTTGTTGAACAAACACAAGTGTGCCTGAGCAGGTGTCTACATAAGGGATTGACTCACCACCCTCGCAAATATTGTTCTCAGAAATGAGCCAGCCATTATATATATATATATATATATATATATATATATATATATATATATATGCACATTTCATTGAATATGACAGACAAGGTGCTTTTTAGTTTTTTATACAATTTCGCATGCGTTCTATAATTTTTTTCTTTTCAGATGATAAAGTATATAAAAACTGTCCAAATGTTCTTTTTATCTGAGTGCTTTTAGCTATACATTTAGCCACTTTCAAGGATTATATTTTAACTGTTAAAATAAGAAATAGTTTGTTGCATGTATGTTTTATAAAATGCTTTCATTTTTCAAAACACAGTCAAGATATTTTCTCCATTCAGACAGTTTTTATATAATTTATCATCTGAAAAGAAAAAAATTATTAGATCGCATGAGAAATTGTATAAAAAACTAAATAAAAGCACCTTGTCTGTTGTATTCAATGAAATGCGCATGAAAGAAGGATTGCTGCCTAAATACACACACACGCACACACATATAATATATATAATATAATATATATATAATATGTGTGTGTGTGTGTGTAGTATATTATATTATTATTAGTAGTATATTATATATTTGTCTGACAAATGTGAAACCCCAGGTCACAAACTCACATCAATCCAACTATATATATATATATATATATATATATATATATATATATATATATATATATATATATATATATATATATATGTGTGTGTGTATTGTTATAATTGGAAAGAACTGTTAGATTGATAATCCAAAGTTCTTTAGTATTTTTGTTTTTATTTTAAAAAAAAAACAGTGCTTGATACAGAATTAGAGCCTGGATTATAATTATTTTTTTTTTTAAATATGATTCCATCACGACACAGAAATTACTATGTTTCGAAACTAGTCAGCAATATTCATGTTTAATTTCAATATTAAACATTAACTATTGGGTGGCAGTTTTATCCTATTATATATATATATATATATATATATTATACACACACATTTAGACAGCATATTTTCATTTTAACATGTTTTGTTGAAAAATATAGACATATTGTGTCTAGTTATTTTTATATTGATTCTTTCAAATTGTTTAATTAGTTCCTTGATACTGAGTTGAAATCCATCAAGGAAGGTGCCTTAGTTTTTTTTTAACCCAGGTACTTTCAACCTTTTCTAAGATCATCTTCAGAGGTAAATTACAAAGACAAACACATTGTAATTGAAATACACAATTAAACATGAGCTGCTTGACCCTTATATGTCGAAAGTGACAGAAGGGTCTAGTATACTATATATATATATTATGCAAAATATATATATATATATATATATATATATATATATATATATATATATATATATATAATGCAACTCGATGACACCTATTAAAATATATAAAAATTGCCAGAATTTAATGTATTTTTAAGGCCAGCATAATATTTGTCAAAAAGTACTTTTTAGATAATTAGATCTGCTATAGTCTATAAAGTGATTAGTAAACTCCTTTGCACATTTACTAATCAATTTATAGACTCTCTTTCCCTCCCTCTTCATATATATATATATATATATATATATATATATATATATATATATATGTATATTTGGGCAGCAATACCTCTTTTGTACAGGTTTCATTCAAGATGACTGACAAGGTAATGTGATTAAGCTTTTTATTTAATTTTTCTTGTGCATGTAGAAGTGTTTTCTTTCCTGGACTCAAAGTGTCTGTCCGCTAGCAGAAACTCTTACCACCTTAATTTTAAGAGTGAATGCCCACCTAGATATAAAATAGTAGTTTTTAAAAAATTCCCTAAAGAGAGCCCATAAAAATTCCTCCTATTATCACCTTTTTCAATAATGTAAAACAGACACTAGTTAACAACATTTTTCCTAACTACTTCATCGACCACCAGATTAGACTATTTTTTTCTAAAGTAACTAAAAACGATACTACAGATAAAAACAACAATGTCAATGTCTTCTACAAAAGCCATATACATGTTAATTATAAGCAAATTTTTTCTTAGAAATATCATAAAAAATACACAACCTCAGTCGACCTGAGCAAGAAAAAATTAAGTAAAATGCTTAATTGCAGTATCTTGTAAAGTTGTCTTTAACAAAACCTATATATATATATATATATATATATATATATATATATATATATATACATATATATATATATATATATATAGGCATATATCTGTATTGTGTGTATCTGCATGTGTACCTATGTAAATATGTGTTCATTCCTATTTATATGATTATAAAGAAATTTATTATATGTGCGTGCGTGTGTGTGTATCGCTACCTGATCACAATTCAATAAAAACAAAAAAGTCTCAAATTTAAAACATCAGTTCATAGTATTTATAAATTTTCTGTTGAATTTTCTAATAATAGCTCAAAAGTTATTTCTAATTTCCTCAAATTAATTTTGAAATTTTTGTGTCACAAACATCTAAGTCGTAAAACCATTGAATGTGTATGTCTGTGTGTATGGTTGCCATGGTGTTTGTTAATGCATATGTGCTTATTCCTAAGTTAAAATAAGATATTTCAGCAGAGTGGACCCCAAAAATAACTCCTATCTAAAATTACCAAAAATGTTGAACTCTGAAATAGTTCTTTAAAAAAATGAAAATACATCCAAGCAAGGGAAGTTGGAAAGGTTATCTAATTTAAACGATAACCAAATTTTTGTTTAAAACACCAATTAAGTACTTTTCTTTACCAAATGGGCTATAACAGTTATACTTCTTAAGATTTGTTAATAAACTCAATTAATGTCTTTCTCAGATAAGCCAATAAGACTCACTTCAAGCCAAATAAGACAGGCACAAGGCTACTCAATGTTGAGAGTATGAAAACAAATTTATATTATTCAACCCAAGCTATATGGCTAAAGAACCAACATATTTATAAGATGAGTCATGACACCTCCCAGCTTTGCTCACAGATATTTATGACTCTGATTATTGAAGATTTTACAAGTATATAAATAAACTCATCAGAATAGTTATGTGGCATAAAATATCTATAGTTTTGATGCCACAAGTAAATATTTATGTAGCATGTTTAATATGGATTTTACAAGTAGAACTATAAATACAAGAATTAAGGTTTATATGGCAACTTCTATATTATAACAAACCACCTAGGCACAATGGCTAGCAAGATAGTCTCACCAATTAACTAGTGTTTGAGTTCAATCCACATGAATATTTCACTATTGTTGTTGTTTGATGACAGACTAAGTCGTACTTACTAAATAACTATAATATTTCAATTTTTGTATTGCTAACATAATAAGCTAAACGTGTTTTCCAGATGAGCCATAGCTTGCCCTTAAATTTGGCAAATTTCTGCTTGATGTGTCAAAAAAGACAATAAACAAAATGACTAAAAAGGTAAAAGTCATGCAACCACACTAGTCAATTTCAACAAATTATAAATCTTTGCATTTACTTACTGATTTTCAATTTGACCAATTTAGCTGAACAGACTGGAACATTGAGAAGCTCTCATTGAGAAATACTTTCAGTGTGTGTGTGTGTGTGTGTGTGTGTGTGTGCACGTTTGTGTTACATGGTTGAAGAATCCCCACTGGCTAACCCAGCTTAGTGAAGCATATTCTCTGACTCCATTTTCATGTCTTTTCCTCCTTCTGTTTCAGCTGCCCACTTTTTCAACCACACCCTCCCCATCTTATATAAACAAACATGATTGTTAACGTTCCACCATTGAAAAAAAAATGTGTACATGTCTTCTCATAATAATATTTGTCCTATTTAATGTAGTTCATTTGAGTTCAATTTTATTAATGGGAATGTTGATTTTATTTTTAGGCAAGATTTTATGTCCCATGCTTAGACTATATCTGTAGAGGTATACTATAAGTAAATAGACACCATGATTTCATACAGATTAAAAATATATTAGGTAAAGATATTCATATTGACAATATATAAAAATGTAAGAAAAAAAGACATTGATTATATAAAAATGTAAGAAAAATAACTGGCCAATATCTCGTTACATCAGTAGAACAAGAATTTTGAAAAGAGGCACATTACAACTCAGTCTGATTATAGATTGAATTAACATTGTAAATTCGACTTTCAATTGCATAATTCCCTTAGGAAGAAAAGGAAACAGAAGTTCAACCCAAACAGCTTCTTCCCAATTACTACAATCTCAACCTGTTCAAGTCTAGAATTAACCATTATCTTCCCCTTCTATCTGTATAAATTACCCCTTAAGGTAACCTTCTATCTTGAGTGGCCCCCAGGCCTTGTACAGGATGAACCTTACAGTAAACATGCAAAAAAAACAAAAAACAACTTGGTCTATCAGAAAAGTGTTTTATATGATTAAATGAGAAATTGAAACAAAAAAAGCCTCTATTGCAAGGCTGCAGATGCAGCAGAGTGCATATCAAAATCAGCATGAAGATAATACTTGGGTTATTATACTTGAGCAATCAGAAGAAAATTGTTTCTTAAACCTGATCAGCCCTGAAGAGATTTCAATTGTTAAATCCCTTGAGTCCTAACTGAATTGTTGAAACATCTGAGTCTGCAATGTCAGTGCAGTTAAACTGATATATCTCAAAAACCATTGAAAATCAAGTGTTACAAGTGGATTTTATAAGAGAGTAAAGTTTTAGCTCTCCAGTACTTCTAATTGATCATGTAATGAGTGTTAACACCGTGAAACATGCTGGTGCATTTGGTGCTTCCAGCTTTAAAGAGTTAAATCTCACACTATTCAACGGAGAAAACAGTGCAAGATTAAGATATGAGCTATAACTTACCATAATATATTTGGCAGTGCATCATTCCATGGCATATGAACAAATCTTTAAGGCAAAAATACCATACTGACTTTTAAACTTTGTCATTACCTTAAGAAAATTCACATTTTTTTTACAAAGTTTATATCTCCAGAACCTTTTGAGATAGAACTGTGAGACCGGTGCCACTGTATCTTTTTTCAAAAAGATCTATAACTGTGTCAAATTTGAACAAACTCTGTGATAGCCGTGGCTTCTCCCTTGTTGATTTGACATGGAGTTACTCAATGTGGCTTAGTCAAAAGAAGGTCATGGTTAGTGGAATCAAAGGAAAATAGATGAAATGTATGTAAGCAAAGCATGAATGTAAGCAAAGCATGCAATCTAAACACATGGTATAAATATTACATTATTTTAACCATGAAAATGTATATTAAACAACCAGGAGCCACAGTGGTCAGTCAAAAGGTGTGTTAAAACATTCCTGCCTTTCCATGTGAAATAAAATGGGTCTTTTGTTTGACTAAAGAAGACATTTCCTCTCTTGTTCATTCTCTCATGTTTTCTCCTATTAACATTCCAAATAAAGCAAGAACTCAACAATCATAAATCACCCTCACAAAGTTCAACTTGGGCTCAGTGGAAAGAGAACATGACAATAATTGAGCAGTACTAAAAAAAAAGAACAAGACATCCCTGTAGATTAAATAAAGGGTTCAGTTCAAAATTCTTGAAAGGTTAGTCAAACTGACAGATACTTGAAGCAAGCTGGAAAGTACATCCAATAAAATCTTATATATAAAGTTGTCGCCTTTGTTTGTTATCGTACTCCTCCTAGGGTTTTGGAGATAGACCCTAATAACCATATATATTTTGAAACGAGGGTACTCGGTACACTGAATTTTCCCTTTGATATAAATTAAATTTAAATTTGAACAAAGGAATGACTCCTATGCCAAATATAGAAGGAGAAAAGGGAATGACTCCTATCTAAAATATAGAAAAAGAAAGCCAAAAGATGGATGGCAAGATCATTGAGTAATATTAAAATGTATCATTTTTCTCCACAAATTATAACAATGATTTAAAATCAAACATTTTCTTACAAAAAATGTATGACATGCAGCAAGGTGTGGGTAATTTGGCTAGTGTTATGATAATAACAAAAAAATAAGTGCAAATGTAAATAATGTAAATAATAATTACTTATATTTGAAAATGTTTGGGTTTATATTCCATAAGGTTTGTAAAGTAAATAATGCATTTTAGACATAAGTAATTTCTTTGAGGCCAAACTAATGAATTTATAACCCAAGTAAACATACTTTGTTTTTCCAAGACATATGATTGATTTATCATTCCAAGAGTTGTTCAAAATGCTGAACTCATTTTTCATTTTACTTTTGTTGTCTCTACCATGTACTGGTACATCCATTCTACAACCACCTTCAAGCCTTCTTTGGTACAAATATGTGTTATACAGGTTGCTGAGAATGATATCTGTATCATTCATATTGCTGGGAATTAGTTATTAATGACCATTTCTTTTCTTTTTTCCACTTGCTTCTGAAAAGATACCTCTCTTTATTTGTAGATTATAAACATGAAGAAGGTTGTAGAATTGATTAGCCAGAACATTGTGATAAAGACATTGTGGAGAAGGACTAGAGGTTCTTAGTAATATTTCTTGGAAACTTCAAAATAAACAAACAGAATCAGACGTATAAACAAATAATATATGCTTATTTATTTGACATCAGTTGAAATGAGTCTTTGTAAGAAGATGACCACTAGCTTCATGCAACAGGCCTGGCTGGTTTCTTTGACAGTCCCTTCTCTGTTGGTTGTCTCCTTATATCCACTTAAGAAAGGGCTCAAGACTACTTGGCATGAAGCTTGGCTTCAGCTAACATCAAAATTTTCTTTGTTGTTTTTTGATTGGCCAAAATTCTTTTATTTTCCAGCATACCTTTCTTTTTCATTTTTTTTCTTTTTATAGCAGAAGTTATATGTGAAGCCTCTCTTATTTTAGTAGATTTCTAGTTACAATAACTAGAAAATTTCAATCTGTTTCACAGATGTGTTCAGTCTTTTCTTCTTTCTCTTTTTTATTTGAGGGTTACTTTCTCATTAGCTGAAAGATAAGTATGGAGGGGGAAGGGTAGAAAAAGAGAGAAAAAGGAAATGGGTTTTAAGGAAAGCTTTATTTTAATTTGGATTTTTTTTATATATATATTTTATTTTCATATTTTATTTTAATTTTTTTACATTTGGGCTCACTACAACATAAACAGCACAAAGAAAGGGATCAATAATTTGAACAACTCTTGGAATTGTTAGTTATATGATAATATTTTTATTAAAATTATAACTAAACTAAGATTTACATCTTTACTCTTGGATTACTGCCTCTGACTACATCATTCCCTTTTTGACTTTGAAACGTCAGCACATTCTTTTCTCTCTCTCTCTCTAAAATATATGGTATGTAAGTACTTCAGAGACATCAACTAAAGATGGTAATGAACTATCGATAACTTGTGTAATATAGTTTGTCAATATATTTATTCATTGTTGTTTAAATTTCATGTCTTTTGGGGTTTTTTTCACCTGGACCCATATAAGTCTGCCATATATTGACTGCTGGGCAAACAATATCAGGCACTGTAAAATGGTAATTCTTTCAGTTCCTTAATGGATAAACTAAAATTAGAAAGTGATGATTATTTAGTGAATATTTTGTAATTCCTTTTAAAAATTCTTCTTTGCAGTCTTTACTCACTCATAGTCCAATGGCGTAGCTCTGGCCACTGACAATTGTCTGCATCCATCTGGGTTGGTTACCGGCTCTCCTCACTTTCTCATCATATCCAGTGTTCCCAGCAGGTAGTCCCTCATGAACAGCAGCAGTAGCAATGTCATCCTGTCTGCCATGACCAATCTCAGTGGTCTCTCCTCTCATATGGACACGGGGAGTATCATGAGTGATGGCATCAGTGATGACCCTAGCTCTCCAGAGAGTGAGCCTTTTGATGAAACTGACCTCCTTAACAATGCAGTCACTGACCCTGTCACCTCTCAACTGGCTAATGCAGGTAAATACTCCAATAACATGAACTGTTTACATTTGTCCCATTGTGTTGGCTTCACTATAATAATGAGAGTTTCAATAGTAAATGTTTCAGACTAATTTTCTTTCATATATTTTTAGCTCTTTTGAAAATTTATGGTTTTAGTTAGTGTTTACATTTTGTTTTTTAAAATGTATCAGCCTTACATGAGCCTTCTATTTCACATTGAATATGTGTGTGTGTGTGTATATATATATATATATATACACACACACACACACACACACAAGGTCAGGTAATGTAGTTTTGTATATATATATATATATATATATATATATATATATATGGGGTTTGATCAAAAAGTATCAGAGCTTTTGCTATGGTAATGGAGCTAAAGTATGCAAAGTGAAGCTGTTTGGCACAGATTGACCTTGAACTCTGTTGTGCATACACAAGTTCTCGCTCACTTCTGTTGTTTAAAATAGTGCTTGGAAGGAAAGTGTGTAGAGTGTGATTGTCTCACTGCACCACAAAGTTTCCATCAGTGACCATGGCTTGTGCAGCAGTTTTTAGCTAAGAAAAAACATTCCCCAGGTTCAACAACCACCATATTCCCCAGATCTTGTCCCTTGCAAATTTTTTCACTTCAAAAATCAAATCCCACTTGAAAGGAACAAGATTTCAAGATGTCGAGAAAATCCAAGAGAACCCGATGAGGTAGCTTCTCACTTACTCGCTATCTCAAAAAAGGAGTTCCAGGAATGTTTCCCTCAGTGGAAACAATGCTGAATAAAGTGTGTAGATTCTGAAGGAGATTAGAGGCTGAACTGATATGTATTGTAGTTTTCTGTTTTATAGTGCCATCCCAATGCTTTTTGATCAGACCTTGTATAACATACTTTCAGATACTTGATAGGTTAAATTTCATATTTTAATATTTAGCTAATAAAAGTCAAGTTAAAAACAAATTCTATTATTATATCTGGGAAAAAAGTGACTGACTTTTTTTTTCTTTTTTTTTTTTTTTTTTCAATTTTGTTAAAATTCAGGTCCTGTGGGGGTAGCTGCTGCTGCAGCTATTGTTAGTGGGAGGAAGAGGAAGAGGACCCATTCTTTTGAGACCAATCCATCCATACGGAGGCGACAACAGACACGCCTATTGAGGTAATCTTATATTTGTAAGCCTTATGCACCATTAGAAATTCTTTCTTCTCCAGTTTACCTAAGCAGTCATTTAAATTCATGATTTGAACAAGGTAAGTTTTCTTTCTTCAATATCTTTTTGAAAGGCATTTTAAGAAATTGTGTTTGATAAGAAAAACATTGTCCTAAATATTTCAGAAGAGTTTTTGAAGACAAGAATAATGTGGCCAGTGAAGGATAATGCTTGACTGCATGTTTCTTTGGTGACCAAGCAAAAAATTGTTATCGTTTGGCTGCAAAATATTCTCTCAGTCCACCATATTCACCAGATATAGCATTTATTGATTACTACTTATTTCAGTCTTTACTGTATTATTTAAAATATTATTTTAATTGCTTCTAAGACTAATGGATGATGAAAAGTTAATACTTTACAACAATATGGAATGCAAGAGATCATGGAGCAAGTAATCACTAACCATAAAGTCTAGTCCTCATCCAAATAAGATGAGATTGTGTATATGGTGCATTTGGAAAAAGTACTCTACCATGAACTCTTTCTGAATGATTGATTTAAAGGAGTCCAGCTTCTAATTAAACCAATTGAAGGTAGCAATTAATGAAGATAATATACAGCAAGATAATTGTTATGACTTGGCTTCAAAGTATTCTCTCAGTCCACCATATTCATCAGATATTGCACCTTCTGATTACCATTTATTCCAGTTTTTACAGAATTGTCTTCACAAGAAAAATTTAAATTCAATGGAAGACTGTAAAAGCTAGCTAGAACAGTTCTTTACTGAGAAAGATAAAAAGAAGTTTTGGGAAGATGGATTTGTGAAGTTGGATGAAAGAGAGCAGAAAATATTGAAAGAAGACATGTTGTTCAATAAACTTAATGTGGAAAATTGATTGATTGATTTGTTTACAATGGCTTATCAACCTTTTGTGTGTCGTTTAAAGCTGAAACACATTTCAGATTGTAAGAATAATCCTTTTTTTTTTTTTTGCATTCACAACTTTTTGGAATAACAATGATTTTTATAGATACAAGTCCTACTATTTAACCCATAGCTGTAGGGAGAAGAGATGGATTTATACCTTTTACATTTCATGTAAGTGAATAAAATGAATCTGACTGGAATTCAAACTTGGTTCTACAATTTCTCATTCTGAGAATATCCATTATGCCACCCACACTTCCCTTTTATAAAATCAGCATTCAAAATTGATTTTTATCTGGGTTTGAACACCAAACACTGCTGAGAAATATGAAACAATCTTATTGTAGTGAGATATATAACATGGATTTACCCTATAAAGTCAAACAACTACAAATAAGTCAGTTATCAGTTGACACATGTGACAATTCCTACTGCATTAATCACTGGAAGACAACACTTGAATGAACCAGATTTTGTGGAAATGTGGATTTGTTGTTTTGCGGACCAGGCGAGGGCCAAGAAGTTAAAAGACAATAAAGTTGCAGCAGGGGAGAAATAAAAAAAAAATTGGAATCATTTATACGGATAGCCAATTTTTATAACAGATATTTGCCAAAATATAATAAATAAATAGAACCCTTTGTAGAATTATGCAAAAAGAATAGAGAATTTAAATGGACTCAATGGCAGAATATAGCATTAGAAAATTTAATGAAACCACTTATAAAAAACTCATAAAAAAATGTTGATCCTAAAAAGGAACTCACCTTAAATATAGACTCAAGTGAGCATGCTGTATCAGCATTTTTGTCTCAATGTCACCCTATAATGTACCTTTCTAGGAAATTAATGTCAGCTGAAGCTAACTATTCAAACATTGAAAAAGAAGCATTAGCTATCGTATGGAGCACAATTTTTATTAGGTAGGAAGTTTCTGTTGAAATCTGACCATAAATCTTTAGAGTTTCTTTTTAACCCCAGAAAGGAATTACCTAAGTCAAATCTAGAAATTTAAGATGGGCCATAAAACTCATGACCTTTGACTTTGACATCAAATATGTGAAAAGAAACACTATTCCACATGTTGTTGCTCTACCAAGACTAAAATGAATGATTAAAAAGATCAAACAATTCAAAAGATAAAATATTGTACTGGATTGAAACTGATATATTATCCCTAAATTGTTTTGAATTTGAGACCTTGTGGGATCCAGTATAAGCAAAATTTCATATAGAATAATAAAAGAAATGAATTGAGTGATTGTCCTGGAGCAGATAGACTCTACAAAGAGATAAGGCACAAATTAATTATAGAGAATGGTCTTATATGCAATGGAAAGGTTTTAATACCACCAGAAAGATTAAGAAAAGATGTAATAAAAAGTGTACACAATGATGTTCATTGTGAAATAACAGTAACACAGAGACAATTAAAATTAGAAGTGTGATGACCTGGTTATTCATGTGATGTAGAAAAATTGCTCAAAATGTATGGAAATAAAAAACTTTCAGCAAACTAAGATACTCATGGCCTAAAGAAAAAGAGCCTTGGACCTGCATTCAGATGGATCATGCACATGTTAAAGGCATAGGACTATTTTTAATTTTGGTTGGCTCATTTTATGGGTAGCTTGAAGTTCTTAGGGTTCAGGATAGGAAGGAAGCCATGGTAAAACAAATATTATGAGTAATATTTTCCAGAAATTGGGTACCAAAAACATTAGTTTCTGATAATAAACCAGAATTTTGTGATGAAACTTTGTTTTCATGTTTAAAACAAATTAGATGCCTCCCTTATAAAACACCACCTGCAATCAAATGGAATTACAGAGAGAATGGTGAAAATTGGGTTAAAGGAATTTTCTCCATCCATAGACACTATAGATAGCTAACTACCAAGACTTTTACTGAGTTAGAGAACCATTCCACATGTTAGTAAAGTGCAAAGTCCCTCTGCATTGATGGGAAGACAAATTAGATCCCCTATAAAAATCTCCTATTCAACAAATGAGAAAATGTGGTACAAAAAAGACATAGAATCAAGTCTCGAAAAAACAAACTTTATTGTACAAAAGGGACATAATACAGCTGTAATAGCAACAAATGGACAGAATTTATTGGTTCACTCTGATTGAATAAGACTTAGAATTAACAAGGAAGAAATAAAATATGGAGATGAATATGAGAGGGAGGAAAGGATGAGTGCTTCTGATGTCAAAAGTGAACACAATAGGAAAGAAACTATGGCAGATGATATGCATGAATCCAACATGGAGTCAGAAGAATTGAACAAAGATGAGTTCAGACCTAGATCCCCAATAAAAAAAAAGGTACACAACTCGAGAGAGATAAGATCTCATACTATAGTTAAGAGAAGTCAAAGATCAATGAGCAGCATAAAATCTCTTTGTTTCCAGGTGTAGTGAGATATACAAAATGGACTTACTCTGTTTTGCATGAAATCAAACTACTATAAATAAATCAATCGTCAGTCGACATGGGAGGACAATTCCAACTATGTTACAGACTGGAAGGCAACACAACACTTATAATATAGACTAGTGCCTCTTAAAATTTTTTCATTCATGACCCCATTTTTCATCACAAGATTTTTTGCAACCCCATTTATTAATCAACTACACTGAAACTGCACTAGTCACAATGGCACCACACATGCATTCTATTACCACAGCACTTGCATGGCATATCACGTTAAATATTGTGTGTTTGCGAAATAACATATAAACTGAAATTCAAGTGTTTAAATTTTCACGACCCCAGCATTTTGCCTCATGACCCTATTTGGGGTTGTGAGTCATAGTTTAGTAAGCACTGATAGAGACCATCTGATTCTGAATGTTGTTTTTTGCTTCATTGCCCCTAGAATAAAAATCATGACATGCTAAACATGTTTTTTTTTTTAATATATAAGTAGACTCTCTAATATATATTTATACCTAAAAAAGATGCAAATATTTTCAAACTTAAGCACATACCAAAAAATAAGATATATTATAAACTGTATCAGGCTATAAATTTTCTTATATTTCTTTCTATAGGAAACTAAAAGCTACCATTGAAGAATATACAACACGGGTAGGGCAGCAGGCAGTTGTACTATGTTGCACCCCTGGCAAATCTGCCCAGAATTATAATTCTTTCAAAGTCTTTGGTTCTCAGCCATTGGAAGGTGTGGTAAGTACAAAAATAACCAATCCCTTTTTTCTTTTTTTTTCTTCTTTTTTTTTTCAAATTTCCATTATTTTTCAACCAATGAGATTAGGTCTTGTAAATGTCAAAGCTAATCATGATAGAATGTTATAATAATCTATTTATCCTCTTTCTTTGTTATTCTTTACTGAATTATTTCTGCTTTTTTTCTTAAGAAATTTTGACAACCTATATTTGAATTGTTATCACATATGTTGTTGGCAATAGTTATATGTCCAGTTATCATATCTATAGCCAGATGTTATTGTTATGAAATGTGTTTTTCTTTGTATTTTTCTCAGTCCAGTAATAGTCATTAATCTTGCATACCCTGTTGTGCCTCTCCCCTTACTGCTTGGGCATGTTTATAGTCTCTTTGCCTTAGCTATGCTAATTAAGCAGTCATTTACATATCATTACAGTTATATTCCCACTGTCAGCTGTTGTTTTAAGAATTGTTACACAAGGTGGTACAGGATAATTCCTTTGTACTTAAAAACTACAGACTCTCCATTGAGTATAGGGATACAACAGCACCATGCTAGCTGATGTTGCTCTAGTTTTAGTAGCGAGTAGGTTTTACAGGTTAAAGCTCCACAACCAACCAGTTTCATTTCTGAGTTGTCTTTTTTGTAGACTGCTTGCCAATCAAGGTTATAGATCCCAGTTTACTTTGGTATTTAACAACTATCTGGGGGGAAGAAGAGATACATTCATGCCTTTCCCAAAAGCACTAGTGCAAAGTGAATACAAAAGATTTGGCAAGAATCTGAACTCAACTCATCAATTTCCTTTTCTGTGCTAATAACCATTATGTTACCCACACACTCATGTGGAGCCAAATTAGATTTGTACCTTTTCTGAAGATCTTGTATCTGTTTAATTCTAAGACATGTTTGTTATATACTGAATTGTCAAGTTTGCCACTAATTCTTAATGCTTACTTAGACACAGTGTTACAATTGTCAAATGGTTAACTTGCAAATCTTGTCAGTGATCTTGTATTGTCTTTATTCCACATATAGCACACAATACACTATGTTACTCTAGCTCTACTTTTTTATATACTTTTGATTGTATAATAATAAGGTAGTAGGAGGAGGATGACAGCAGTCATTGTATTTGACTATTCAAGAGTTTTCTAAGAAAAAGGCAAATAGCTGGTTCTGTGTTATAAGAAAATACAGTGTGCGATGGGTAATTTGTCATCATTTTATATTTTTAATTTTGTGCATATGTGTTGTTTGTTTTTGATTTTGTCAACTGCACAGTATAGCAAGGTTTGTTGGGTACCATTTCTAAGAAAAAGAACACCATGACGCAATTCACTTCATCAGAAATTTGGAAATGGCATGCTGTGATATTTGGCATTCACATTGAAAGCTCCAATACAAACATTTCAGAGTGTTTGGGTATCAATCTGAGGACGGTGCAGAAGATTCGGAAAGAGTTGGTTGAGTCTGATGGTGATTACAAAGGTGTTTGCAGTGATCACTAGTGATAGTGACATTATGCCTTCATTCATTTTCCCACAGGCCCTCAAACTCAACACAGAGGTCTACAACAAATGCATTGAGGAGGTAGGTCAAGAGGGTGATATAAGGATTTGCTGATACAGGTGCTACTAATTAACCAATAGCTGGAGGGAGAAGAGGTGGATTCATACCTTTTCCAATAGTAATTGCATATAAGGGAATATATCAAACCCAACTGGAATTGGAATTCTGACCCTCCAATTTCCAATTCCAACTTGTTATCCATTACACCACTTCACATCTAAGCTTACAGCACCTGGTATTCCCAAGTGGTTACCCATCTAGGTACTGACCAGGCTCAATGTTGCTTAAATTCAGTGATCATATGAGAATCAGTGTTCTAATGTGATATTGTCAGAAGCCTCTTCCTGAAGGGACACAGCACCTAAAAGAATACTAATAATAAGTGAACAAAAACAAAATTAATGCCAAGTCTTTTAGGGATTCTTCTTCTCATACAGTTTTCCCTATTGGTGAGCCTTGTATATGCTGAATGCATCTTCTACAGAGGAGTAAAACCCTTTCTGGATGGATGCTTTCAGACTGAAGTATAAACCCAACCAATATTTATTTATAAGCTCAAACATTAGACCAATCAGTGTTTACCTATAAACTCCAGTATAAACCCAGCTAATGTCTACTTATTAACTGAAATATAATAGAAAAAGGATTTCAATAGTAATTAAGCCAACAAAATAAGAACTAGATGAGATATCTCTAGACATGGGCAGTGGAATAAGAACAGTCTTCGTCTGTAGATTAAATATTCCCTATAGGTTACTTGAAATGACTTACACCTGATGAATGCTGGAGAGTGCAATGGCTGAAACTTTGTGATAACAACAACAAAGATAAGAACAATAATCTACATGCAAATAGCGTAAATAATGCAACAAAGGTTTATATGTTATAAAATCTACCAACCCAACCCAACTTTTACTGTGATTAAAATTAAATCAAATCAGCAATATATTGTCATGTCACCAAAAACTCAAGACAAAAATGAACTCTGTTACACTTTGTTTGAGCCTGACTTCAATCCTTAAACAAACAGCTACAATCTCTGTTTGATACATATTCTGGATAGTATAGAATAAAAACAAGCCAGCTGAGCAAAAGACTTCAAGTAGGGGTCATCTAGTGTGATGGGAATGAATCTTTTATATAATTAGCTGCCTGAGTGGTGCTGACCTGTTGTTTCCCATTGATGAATTGGCTGTTTGGGGAAATCGTGACTGATTAGCACAAATGGCACTGCTAATGTATTTGAATATCAATGTGGTTGTGCTGACTAACTTGCCTGCCTTGGATACATGTGACAACTATAAGAACTGAACAGCAAGTGTGAGCAGCTGTCATTATTCTAGACTTACTGACAATGTGTGCATAGAAGGTAGGAGACTCTGTGAGTCAGATGTGTCAAACCTTTGTTAGTTGGTCTAAAGTGCTTTGCCGGTTGTGATTATTGCAACAACAACAACAGATAGTTGAATAAAGAATATTCCCACTGTTACCATGATGTTGTCTCCTGTCAGTAAGAGCAACATTTGTTTTATAGGCCTTGATTGGAATAGTCAAGTCAAAGTCATTGTGAGGCTAGTGTTATGGTTCAAGTAACCAAAATTTTCTTTACCTGCTGTATCAAATAGAAACAATGTCTTCACAGGAAACAAATAGTGTCCAATCCAAATAGAGGAGGATTTACAGAAAACCTTTTCCCCGCATAATAACAATTATACAAATCAAGAACAATAAGCCATATTATATAATAACTTATATAGAGTATATTAAAGATATCTTATTAAAGTTATGTTCAGATACAAAACTGAGCAGATATGCACTTTCAAGAATCTAGGAGGATTGCTCTTATAAAGCACTATTTGGCCTTACTTGATCATTGACACCTCAATTTCATAACTCAGTTGGTATAAAGTATGTTGCATCTAAGAAAGATTTCTCTCATGCAATGGGAAACACAGGTTCGTATCCTGCCAGAGGGCTCATGTTTGTCTTTGGGAGAGAATATAAATTTAAAAAAAGAAATGTACTCAGAGAGCCTATGTCCATTCAGTTTTGTTCATATGCATGTATTCCTGTCTTTCAGTTACGCAATTGTCGAGAGATGGTAATGCCAAATCTGGAATCTGCCCTTGCTCAACAAGCTCCTCCAGCCCACCGAGATGACCCCTCACTTCATGAACTGCCACCTTTGGTCATTGATGGAATTCCAACACCTGTAGATAAAATGACACAGGTATGTGCTGAGAATGATTTCTCAACTTAATTTTAAAATGAAAGCAAAAGCAAAAAGAATGTGAATTTGGCTCCCCAATTTCTTGTCCCAAGCTACTGTCCATTGCATTACCCCCCCCTCTGCACTATTGTTAGGAGTGCATGCACAGTTTTTGTAATGTGTATCAGCTCAGGATGAGAAATTGGAGAGTCGAGTTTGAATTTCAGTCGAGTATGTTACATTCACCTAAGCACAAATACTCTTGGGAAATGTATGGATCTATTACTTTCCCTCCGTCTATGGGTTAAATGGTAGAGCAGACTGGGCTCTTCAGCCATGGTTGGCAACCAGTCTATCAGGAGGACAACTCTGAATTCAAAACTCATATGTAGCTCTGGCAAAGTATATACTATGCAGCTAATAAGAGGAATGTGGTGTTCACAATGACTATAATCTTCATTGCAGTTGAACTCCTCTTGCTTCTTTCTTTTTCTTATTCTTTGAAAAAAAGATTAATCTAAATAATTCATTGTAATTTAGATCAGTGCCTGTCGGTTGCAGTTTCTACATTTTATAAGGATGATGTATTTTAGGATATAATTTTGTTTTTACATTTCTTGTTTTACAACTAAAAGAAACTTCCCTTATTTTTCCTATTTTAATTTTAGAATTGTGAAATGAACTGAATACAAAAGAACAATGTAATATGAAAAATAATAAAGAAAAACAACAAAGCAATATGAAGGCTTTATTAAGATGACACTTAATGATATTGAATTGATATTTTCTCTAATTTCTGTTTTGTATTGTTGTGGTGTAATGGATATCAGCTCTGAATGAAAATGAATGAGAGCTGAGTTCAAATTCTAGTTGAGTCCATTATGCACAAATACAAATGAATCCATCTTTTCTCCCTCCAGCTATGGGTTAAATAGCTGGACAGCCTAAGTCCTGTAGCCTTGGTTTTTAACCAGTCTGCAACAGAAAGAAATGGCAACCTACTGTGGGTAAATCAGTCAGGAATTAGAAGAAACATGATTGCTCAAGCATGTATCACATATGGCACTTAACTGACTGACTGATTGAGTTGCTCTTGTTTTCACAGGTTTTGTTTTTTGCATGAAATTTTGAGTCTGCCTTTGTTCAAAATCACTTCATAGGACACATGTAACTAATGACTACAGCTAGGACAGCAGATTGCCTGCTACTATCATGTCTCTCTAGAATTTGATTTGATAGTGTTGTAACCTAGGGAAAGTTACTGAATAGAATGATCACATGAAGGTTGGTAATGAATGATAATACTTAGGACAAGAACAACATGTATAAGATTTGCCAGCAGCACGTAGAAGTAGTCAACTACTAGAAGTGAGTCAAATGAATTCTACAATGAATCTCCAACTGCAGACCAACATACAGTATTTACTACTGTATTTATGTGAATGGGGACATATCATAGGTATGCTACAACAGATAATTTTATGGCAAATGAAATTTGATCAGATGCTTTTTGTTTGGTTACATTGATTGAAATAAAATATTTAACATCTTTGAGAATCATTTGATTTTTATTTCAGGCTCAGTTGCGAGCATTCATACCCTTAATGCTGAAATATTCAACAGGTCGGGGTAAGCCAGGCTGGGGGCGAGTGGAATGCCGGCCACCCTGGTGGCCATGTGATTTGCCTTGGGCAAATGTACGTAGCGATGTTCGCTCAGAACTAGACAAAGAGAAGGTAAGGCTGAAATTGTGACTTTAAAATGTTGCCTCAATTGAGATGATGACTCTAAACTATAATTATTAGATTTACAGATGTCAGATAATTATTAAGCTTTGTGTCTTGTTAACAATACTGAACTGAATTTCTACTTTCTATTTTGTATAATAGGCAATTATTTATGGAAACCTTTTCAGGAAAGATTGTATTTACTGTTTATTTACTGTATTCGACAAGTGTAGCTTAAGAGCTTTGTAGCTTAATTTACATGAATATATGGGTATTTTGGGGAATTTTTGATGGTACTTTCATTTTAATATGTAAATTTGGTATATGTTCTCAGCATTAGTATACAGCATTACTTGTTAATATAAACTTTCCTAAAATGATTACTTTTTAGTATAAATTGATCTAAAAACAGTATATGTAATGTAAGTTGTCTAAAATATTAATTCTTATATATTATCTTAAAATTGTTAATACAAACTATCTTTAAAAGATTGATTGTTAATATCTTAAAAATTTCATTTGTTGATGCAAAATATTACCAAAATTGGTTGCATATTACTTGTTAATCTAAATTATCCTGAAAGTATTATTTGGTAATATAAACTGCTCTAAAATAATTGTTAGTGATTATTAAAAATAAAATTATAAAAAATGTTAAAGATTTTTTTCATTGATTACTGATTTGCCCCACCATTCTCTCTCTCTCTCTCTCACTCTTGTTTTTTTACCTCTTTTTTTTCTTTGTAACTCACTCTCTCTTTCAAATCACCTTATTTATATCCCCTCTTTCTCTTTATTTTATCATTTCACATTCTTTTTTTCTTTTCTAGTTTCTATCTTCAAAAGATCTTAATAGGTGATTAAAAACTGTAGAGTTCTTCTCTTATTTTAAAAATAACTTATTTGATTGTATTTATATATCTATTAATATTTATTCAGTAGGATTATTATTATTATTATTATTATTATTATTATTATTATTAATGGTATCATAATGGAAGAAATTGCATAAAGAATTCAAGATGTTAATGTATAATTAGAGAAATGAAAGTGTATTTAGATTTCTATATAAAATGCATAAAATTAAGATTTCTAATTTTAAATTGTTTCATTTTAAAATTTTCTATAAACTCAGAGATTTTTTTCTTTTTCTATTTCCAAATCCTTTATTTAACAAGAAACTACAATAATATTTCATATAAGTTGTCTATTAAACTTCACTTAGTTTGGCACATCTCCCACATGCCAGCCATCCTGGTTATGACGATAAACTGCATCTGCGTCCTGGGAATGACGATAAACTACATCCGACAGCAAGGCCTCTGATCAGGAGGTTTTGAGGAATGTGGAACCACCTCTTAATTGCTGGTGTTCCCAGGTCCACCCTGACCCGGGGTGGTAGCACCTGTTAGGGTCCCAGCTATGAGCAAATAGTTAACCCTGAAATTGAGGTAAAAAGCATTATGAAAGTGTAAAAATTACATTTTAATACCAGAAATACTTTGTAAAAAATTATTACCAGAAATAACATTTTTGAAGAAAAAAAACTATTACTAGCAATACGTTTTTGAAAAAAAAATATTACTGGCAATACATTTTTTAAAATAATATTACCAGGAAAAAAAAATGTCAGCATTAAATGAACCATTGAGGTTCATATACCGTAAAACAAACCAAACCAAACCCACATGCCAGACACCGAGTGAAGATCACACTCACTACGTTGTTAATAGTCTATAAGACAAACTTGCTAATCTGCAGTAAAGTGCCCTTTATATATGATATTCAGTTCAGTCATGGGGCAGTACAAAAAAATGAAAAAAAAATTTTTCTTGTCTGTATTTCTTAGATGAAGTATTGTTGTTAGTAATGTAAAAAAAAAACAACAACTTTTTCTTTCATTTTCTTTTTATTGCTTTCTAACACAGATTTTTTAATACTGTGTGACCTTTTAAGCAAGCAGTATGGACAGGGAAATAAAGTTCTGATGAGGCTTGAACACAAGGATAAGGGATGTGAGTTCAAATCTTATTGGAAATGTTGTCTTTATTTTCAATCCAACACTGCTTGCTTCACAATTGTAGAGTGTAAAAATGACCTCTGAGCATTGTGCTAAAACACAACAAAAAGAAGCTGAAAGAAAACCTATTTTAAAAAAAATAAAATGATTTTGTTTTTGTATGAAACATTAGATAGATATGAAAAAATTAAGACAATTTTGGCAGGAATCCTTATTAAAAAATAAATGAAAACAGAACTTCTTTTATTCCTTTTCATTCTTTTTTGATTTTTTTACCTTCCACTTGTGAGAATGTTAAATTGTTTATAATCTCCTGTGATGAGAGTCTGAAATAAATGCAAATGAATTTTAATGGCACACTGCACATGATTAAAACCGTTTTCTAAATGTTTTCACACTTTTAATAATTGCTACAAGATTGTATCATTGCTGCTTTTGAAGGTTTCCTGGACACACGCCCTGCGACAAATTGTGAAGAACTGCTACAAACACCACGGCCGAGAAGATCTTTTACCAGAATATGCAGAAGAGAACCCATCAACCAACATGTCTAATCCATCTGGATTTGCTATGCCAAACAGCAATAATCTTTCTGGCACCATGGTTCAAGCCATTAATAACCCTGATGGCAGTGTATCAATCATTCAAATAGACACAAATCCTAACAATGGCGCAGTGGTCACCCTGGCAGATGGTACTCAAGCCACGGTCTTACATGCAGTGAGTTCATTCAATTGGCATTATTTTGTCATTTATACATTTGTCAAATTCGTTTTTTTCTTTACAAAGAGATAACAGCTGAGGTTTACTTTGCACAACATTCCGTGTGGAGTATAGAGACACAGCCTCACCACACCAGATGTTTTTGCTGTGGTTTCTGTAACAAGCAGATTTTTACAGGTTGGAGTTACCAGCTCCATACCCAACTGGTTTTAAATACACAGCTGTCTCCTCTTTATATGCAAATCATGTTTTATTTGTCGTTGTAGGTTCAACATGAAGCCAACCAAGCAGTGCAAACATTGGTAGAAGCTGTATCCGATGCAGAACTTTTAGCCTCAGGTAATTTGACTGCAACACCAATCAAAGTTGATCTTGATGCCCAACAAGCGAGTCAAGTGGCAGCACTGACAGAACAGAATGGACAAATTTTATTAGCAGGAAACCATGGTCTTGAAGGTAAATAATTTCCCTTCTTCTACGTGCTCTCTTCAAGACCATGAACATGGCTTTCCACAATTTCTTGTCCTTTTGTTACCTCTCCTAAATTCTGTTCTGCCATCCATTTACTCAAGCTCAGTTGGTAGGTTATGTGTTGTTTTCCTCTGTCTCTCTTGCCTTCAATCTGTCCTTTGAGTATCAAATTTTCCAAACCCTCTTTCCTCATTATTTGCCCTAGAAATTTCAACTGTCTCTTTCTGATGTTAAGTATAAGTGTTCCTTTTGTTTCTATTTTCTCTAAAACTGTAATTGCTCACATGTTCAGTCAATGGCATTCTCAGCATCCTTTTGTAGAACCACATTTCTGTTGTTTCAAGTCTCTTCATCTATAAGAAGATTGACAACATTCCCTGCCATATAGGAGGACTGATATTATGTAACAATTCAGTACTCTTTACCAATAATGTTTGCTCATTCTTTTCAATTGGTTTTTCTTTTCTGTAAATCACTTGCCTTAACAGTAATATTTTGGTTCGACATTGCTATTTGGTTCTTGTCAAATAGTCTACTAAAGAGAGATGATAAGCAAGTTAGTCTTGCAAACTATTACTAGTAAGTTTTTTTTTCTTCATATGATATGGATGGGCAGGTGGTATAATGGATATCGACTTGGAATGAGAAATCAGCCATGTTTGAATTCCAGTTGGGGCCATTACATTCACTTATGTGCAAATAACCTTGAGAAATGTATGAATCCATCTCCTTCCCCTAGCTATGGGTTAAATAGTAGGACTTGTATCTGGAAAAATCATTGTTATTCTCAAAAATTTATTAATGCAATATTCACTTGCAAAAAAAATCAGAATTATTCTTACAATCTAAAATGTGAATGAATGATTGATAAGTTGCGAAAATAATGGTTTTTCATAGAATAGTCCTCAAATGTATCTTGAGTCAAAATCGGGTTTATAAATTTGAAATATTAAATCAAATAAAGTCTTGCAACATTTATTGATGGCTATTTCAAATAAAGGTCTGTTAGCTACCAGGTCTTAAGTTTTGTCATCAATGCCAGGTCAATGCCATCTGTTAACTGATTAAGAAAAACGTTTTTTCAAAGGAAGGATGATGAGATGATGACAATCTTTCCTTAGGGTCAGATTATGCCAATAATATCAGTTGTGAATATGTATTTATACAGTGTGCAACATAAATGCCCTTAGAAAATTTCAAATGAATTCTACTTCTAAATTTACATTGTTGTTTATGGTACTAGCCCAACAACTATTTGTTTTTTTAAAGTGTTTTAGTATTTACTAGCAACAATATCTATAGAAATTAAAAGAAAGTCTATAATTGATCAACATAAAAATGGACTAATGTCACCTGAGATTTTTAATGCTGGAAACAACTTGGAATCAATAGAATGTTTATCAAAAGGACAATCAATTGATATGAGACTGCCTCCTTCAAAGATAGATCGAAACCAGGACATCCTTGCACATTCAGAACACCCAAACTTATTAAATAGGTGTGTGAAAAAATCAGGCATAACCCAAGAAGGTCAATGAAAAAATTGGCTAAGGAGGCCGGAACATCAGAGAGAACGATGCAGAGGCTATATTGAAATGATCTTGGGATGTCACTCTTACAAGATAACCAACAGACAGTTTCTTTCAGCAGCCACAATGAAAAAGAGGCTTCAAAGAAATAAACTGTTGGTAAAACAAATTTATGATGACCCACTGCAAAACATCATCTACACTGATGAGAAACTGTTTACTGTTGAACAGACTTTTAATCATCAAAATGATTGTTAGTTCCTGCAACTTCAGGAAAACGTCTCAGAACTCAGAAACTGGCAGCAGTTATAGTTTGAACAGAAATAGAAAAGCTAATATTGAATCTGTTTATTCATCTAAACCATATATATTTAGTTCTGAATTAAAAGAATAAAATAAAAAAGAATATTTTATACTGAATGACCCAGCATGAGTTGAAATGTTAAACCCATTAACTTAAACCCAAACTACACAGACTTTTGCAGTCAGTTGAGAAAAAAAAATAACTATAACTTGCTCTGTATATATTTTTAGTATATAATCAAGATGTCTAATGGTAACCTTATTGAATTATTTACGTTGGAATAATAAAAGCTATTTTACTTTGCTTCAAAAAAGCAATTGAATTTTTAGTCTTTAAATATTGACTTTATCGATAATCAAAGGGAAGCAACTTTAATACTGAAACTTGTTACTGTCGAATTTGTCATCCAGTTGTTCCGAAACGTTTTTTTGCTTAAGTCACTCATTAAAAAGAACAAGAATATTTTGCCACGCTGTGTATGTAAATTTAAATTCAAAAATGCATTTAAAAAGTGTTATTTATACATTCTATATTATGAAAAATAATTTAAACTATAGAATGTTAGTAGTAATTACATTTTTTATTCAGTAAACTCAAGAGAGCAATGAGAAACCGTCTAGCTACTGAATTTTTATAAATTTGGATGATTTCTTTTTTACGGCTTATCAACCCTGTTTAGATTATTTAAAGTCAGAAAAATCAATTAGATGTATATATGGAATGAACTTCATCTAATGTTCAAGATAAAATTCTTGATACCAGGGCTGAGATTGTGTTAGGCAGCATAGCAAATAATGTGAAAAATGAGCCAGGATATTTCATTATCATTAACTAGAAATCAGATGTCAAGTTACAATATGTTTTAGATTCATCACTAAAGGCAAAATCAAGGAGTTTCATTGTGTTTTTTTTTTTTTCCAGTGGGGTTACAGTTTTTTACTGAAGGAAGGGTTCATTATGAGCTGAGCCAGATTATGATCTTTTGGGTCACCTTGGCTAATAAAATCATGGGACCTCACTCAAATGGAGCCACCTTCTAACTCACCTGCACCCATCTTGAATATTTTTTACTTGTAATATATTTTTAGCAAAATTTACATAGCATGAAGTAAACATTGAAAATTCTTTAAATAAACTAGAATAGCTATCTTTTGTTTCTAATGAAAATATTCTTTAAGAAATACCACTATTTTACTATTTATTGCCAATAAATTTAGCACATTTTATACTATCGTAGTAAAAAAAAAAAAACTGATTTTTTTATAACCAAGCTTGAGGAGCCCTTGGATGCAGTCTATTCTATCCTATAGGATAATCCAGCCATGATTATGATTGAGTAAACAATGTACTTAGGAAGCAAGATTGTTAGAGAATGTTTGATGACAAATCAAAGATGAAAAGTTTTCATAGAGATTTGGCAACAAGAATGAAAAAGTGTTCTAATTTAGCCACTCTATAATGCCTTGGGAACTATTCAGAGCCTCTACAACTTTCTAGAAGCAATTTCCAAACAAAATATTAATGCAGGTGTTTCCTAAGGCTTTATTCTTGGACTTACATCATTCTTAATTTTCATCAACAACCTTCCTGATGTCATCAGTTCTTAATTTGGTATCTATGTTGACAATACAACTATTTACTCCTGTCTTAATCATAAGTCAGATCAGTTCAATAAGGTCAAATTGACAGCTGATCTCAAAAATGATCTACAATCTGTTGTTAACTGAGGCAAGGAATAGCTTGTTAATTTTAACACCTTCAAAATGAAACTGCTCTCTTAATGGTACTAAAAGAACCCTTTTGCCTTCCATCAGCATGGCTGATGCTAACCAGAAGAGTGACTCATTGTGCCTTCTCAGAGTAACATTTTCTGATGACATGAAGTTGAAAGATTATATTGAATCAATTGCTAGGTCTGCTGCTAGGAAAGTTGTTTTACTGTGTTGTGTTAGACAATTTTTTCACCAAAATCTATCTTACATATTCTACCATTCATCCATGCTTTGAATACTGCCACATCTAGTCTGGTGCTTTTGCTATGTATCTAGAGATTCTAGACAAAATTCAAAGAAGAATCTACTATGTTATTGGTCATGACCTGGCATCTTGGCTTCAGTCACATTCCCACTGCCATAATGTAGCTTCCCTGTGTCTTTTCTATAAATACTTTCATGGTAATTGTTCTGATGAGTTCCTCAATGATACTTAGACTTTATGAATTTAAGTGCAGTACTAGATTGGCAGCAAGATCTCATCATTTTACAGTTGAAATGGTTAGATATAACCATAAATTCTATGCTAACTTCTCACTTGTGAGACTTTCTTCTAGCTTCTTGCTTTCCAGTCAACTTTGATCTTCAAAAATCTAAATGCAATGTCAATCGTAATCTTCTGTTTTTTGGGGTTTTTTTTTAAACCTGTTCTTTTATTACCCTTGCTCTTTGAGTATGTTTTTCTAAGTTTATTTCATTCTCAGTATCCCCTTGTGTCTTAGTGGCTTTATCACTTGGCTTTATTAAAAAAAAATAGTCAACATTGGTTTACTTTTTTTTTTACATTCCTAGGTTAGATTTGCTTTTAACAACTTTAACAAATATCAGATCAACACTGTCAGCTTTGATATATGAAGCAGCACTAAAATTACTTTCTTCATCCATTGTTCAATTTCTTTTGTCAGCCATGATCAGATAAGATAAAGAAGTCATATCCTGTTACTGTTTACACAGTTTTGAATTCAAAATCGTCTTTCTCTTAGACTTGTGGCCAACCAAGGCTAGAGAACTCTGTTTACCCTGTTATTTAACTAAGAAAATTAAATGAATTTATGCCTTTCACAAGGACAATAGTGCAAAGGAAATATAAATTGTCTTGGTTGGAATTTGAACTTGGCTTGCTGACTCCATTTTTTTTCTTTTTTTGCACTTTTACTCAAAAATCCACCAGTACCAGCTCTTATTAAATTTTGTCTTTTTGCTATCACTCCTAAACTCTATTCTGCCATCCACTTACTCAAACTAGATCATGTGTTGTTTTACTCTGTCCCTCTTGCCTTCAATCTGTCCTGTGAGTATCAGATTTTTCAAACCCTCTTTTCTCATTATGTGCCCTAGAAATTTCAACTGTCTCTTTCTGAAGTTAAGTATAAGTGTCCTTTTTCCATTTTCTCTAAAATTTTGTCATTGCTAATGTGTTTGGTCCAACATTGTCATTGCTCACGTATTTGGTCAGCATCCTTCTGTAGAACTACATTTCCATTGCTTCAAGTCTCTTCTTCATCTGTGAGGTGATTGTCCAGCATTCCCTACCATATAGGAAGACTGATATTGCACAACAGTTCAATGCTCATTTCTTTGTTTCTAACAAAATTTTTCCATTTCTTAATACTTTGCTTAGTTTTTGGAAGTCATCTTCTGCCATCCCATTGTGCCTTCAGATTTCATTGTTGCACTTTCTGCCCTCCATTAAAATACTTCCCAGATATTTAAATTGTTGTACTTGTTTGATTTTTGTATCTCCAATTTGTAATTTTCAGGCCGAGCTATTCCTTTTTTTCTAACAACATACATTCCATCTTCTTCAATTTATGTTTAATCCTTTCTTCTCACTGTCCTTGACTACCTTCTGTCAGAGTTCTTATAGTTTCCTTTCTGTATCTGCTATCAACACTGTGTAATCATCATATCTTATGTTAAGATTGTGTCCACCAATAATGAACCCTGGTAGGATTTCTAATTCTTTCAGAATTACCTCACTGTATAGGTTGAATAAGTCTGGTGAGAAAACACATCCTTGTCTTACACCCCTTTCTATTTTTGCATATTTAAAGAACTCATTTTCTATTCATATGCAGGCAGTTTGTTGCCAGTATTGTCTCTGAATTATTTTAATATCCTTCCCAAATATGCCAATGTTACCTAGCAGTTCCAACACTTTTGTATAACCTATAAAACACAGGTACACATCATTTTGCATTTGTATTGCTCTTTTTGATATCGTTCTGAATATATCACATTCCTTGTTCCAGTTTCTTTAACAAACATGCGCTGTCCTTGCCCTATTTCCATTTTGATTCTACTGTGCACTGTATTCATCAGAATTCGGATGATAAGTTTTGTTATATAGCTAATTAGGCTGATTGTCTGATGGAGTTCACATTTGCAGCCAGTAAAATTAGGGATTTAATAATTTTGTACCACATAAAATAAATTTTTATATTGGTCCAACTGTTGCAGTCATAAATGGATTTTCTTACAATATGCTTTGATATTTGTAGTATAGTCTGAAAATCAACTTTATAATCTAGTTGAAATTGCTACTATTACTGTCATACTTGAGAAAGGCATGAATCTAATCCTCCCTGTTCCCTCTGAAATTATGAATCATCCTCACTCACAATGATAGAATAATGAATAAGAAGTGGCAGATGAGCAATCCATTTTTTTCCTATTTACTCATCTGAGCAGCAGTTGCTGAAATAACTGCTATATGTATTATTAGTCATGACATCTGGAGGCCAGAGAAATACGTCTATTTATTTTATATATTAAATAATAATAATAGACTCAAATTTTAAATGTGTATGTATCTCATTTTGGTGAAGCTCAAATTGACCTTTGGCTCAGTTAAGCAAACTTTGAATATATCTTTTAATTTCTTTCTTTTTCGTTGCCAGGGATAATGACAATTCCTTTGTCTGTCTACCAAACCATGCCATCCGGTCTGACAACACTGACTGATGCTGAGGCTCAGAATATTGCCTTGCAAGTTGCTATGGCTGAACGAAGCAGTGCTTCGCTCAAAGAAGAGGTTCCTGATGCCACCCATGCAGTTGAAGTGATGACTGTTGAACAATTATAAAAGCAAACATGACAGATGAATCTGTGATATGAGTTCCTATTTCGGATGGTTCCACAGACAGTGAACTACAAGGCATGAGATATAATCAGAGCCAAACAATGAAGAAATGGCTAGCAACTAGCCGCCTTTAAAAGAAAACAAAATGGTAATTTTTTACTGAACTCATATTTCTAAGATGTCTTTTTAAAATATTTGCAGCGTTTTTAGTTTTTTAGGGTGTTAAAAAATGGCAAATACTAAATAACTACCCCAATAAAAAAAGGGGTGGAGAAGAAGAAAAAAGCACAAAACAAGTTTTAAAAAGAAAAGGAACAACTTCTATTTAGTATATCTTAAAGGAAACTGGTCACATGACCTACCTCAACTCCTTTTTTTTTTTTACTGAAATATTTTTTTTTATTTATTTTGATTCCTCTTTTTTTGTTTTCTTTTTTTTTTGTTATGACAAATTATTTTATATATTTGTTACATCCTTACAAATGCTATTAATGTTGTTAAGAGTTTTAAACAAGGTATTTTAACAATATAAGATCTGTTAAAAAATAACCAAGATAATAAGTATTCATTTAAAATTGGATGGACCATGGTTTCTGTAAATACCTCAAGCTGCTGACTAATAAGTCCCAGTCTTCAAGTTTTTCTTTCACTGTGACATTAATCCATTGTCTGTTCATGCTTTTCGACTAACAGGGCATTTGTAAATAATAAAGTATGAAGACATTTCAAGAAGTATAAAATATAGAATATATTTTTTAAAAATTGCATTTGTTCTGAGCCAGTCATGTGAGCAACCTTGCTACTTAAAGCATCAATCTATTTATTATACAATGTCATACTCATGAGAGCTCGAGGTAAACTAATGGATAAGACACCAAAAAAATGGGACCAACAAACAGCTTCAATCTCAGTTTGTCTACCATTAGTGCTTGGCAACACTAATGCTTTTATGTAAAGGCATGAACATATGTTCACTATCCAGCAATTGTGACTTCTTGTCAGTGCCACAATGGGATATTAAACATCAGAGAAACAACGTTTTGCCCTCCCTGTAATCTGATTCAATCTTCTAGGAGATTAATGAGTGGATGGAAATATACTTATAATCATGGTTAGAGGATTGGTCGCAAAACAGAGAGGTTGAAGTTTTCTTTCTGGTGCCAAGTTAGTTACACTTGTAACAAAAAGTTTATCAAGCTGAAAAATCTGATCTCAGGCCAGGGTAAAAGCAATTGAGTACTTATAAAATCTATTGTACCCACAAGGGAATAACAATGTAGCTGTCATTGTTTATGTAAATCACATTTATAATACGTTTAATAATGCAAGCAATCTCAAAAAGTTATTTGTAACTTTGGCTCTATGGTTCATACTGGGGGCTGGAAAACTAGAGTACTGCATTTCAATCCAGCTTTGCAATTAAAACTTGTTATTACAAATACACATAAGTATGTAAGATTCTCCTCTTATTGTCTGTTAGGTACTTGTAAAATCCGAAATTATTCTCCTCTTATTGCCTGTTAGGTACTTGTAAAATCCTAAATTATTCTCCTTTTTTCTAATTTCTTTCTATCTCTTAAGTATTGCTAAAAAATGATTCTCCTCTTATTGTCGCTTAGGTACTTGTAAAATCCTAAATTATTCTTCTTTTATTGTCTCTTAAGGATATGCAATGGTTGTAATGGTTAACAACTCTGAACAAGAAATCAGCAAAACAAGTTTGAATTTCAATCAGGATTATTACATTCACTTGCACAAATACCCTTGGGAAAGTTATAAATCATACTCCCCTTCTCTGTGCTATGGGTTAAATAGTAGTGCAGACTAGGTGCTTTAACCTTGGTTGGCAACCAGTCTAGAAGGACAACACAGAATTCAAAACTGGTTGGGCATGGGAATAGCAACTTCATTCTATAAAAACCACAGCAACAATGCCTAGCTTACTGAGATCTGTGATCCTATGTTTTCCAGTGGAGTCCAAGGGACTTGAGTGTGTCTTATTTCTTAGATACTTGTAAAAAACAAGATATAGATTCATAGCTTTCTCAGGGGTATTTACACATGTGAATATAACAAACTTGATTGGAAGTCAAACTCAACTCTCTGATTTCTCTTTCTGAGCCATACATAGAAGAAAAAAACTTTGTAAGCTAAGAAAAGGGTGTGTTTCACTGGGCTTAGGGGGGAAAGATAAGTTAAATGAGATGGAGCAACACAAAGATGACACAAGACATGGTAAATTTAATTTATTTATTTAAACTCCCCGCTGGATTTGTCTTGATATCAGCATTCCCTAGTGGCACCAGAAGTGATTACAATCATCATCATAATCATAATCAACATTATTGATGTTCAGAGTCTGTCTATATTTCTGAGATGAGGTATTATGTACAGTATTTACATTAGTCGGACTATTGTCCTCATCTTTGTCGCCATCGTTTCGGCCGTTATGAGCTCCGGCCTTCTTCAGGTGGTTGGAATTTAGAACTGAACCCTTTATTTGAACTGGGGTAGACTGTTTCTAATTCCACGTGCCGTTTGATGGATGTCAGTTATCAGTTATCTCCTGCTAATTTTCCCTTTTTCCCAAATAGTGTGAGTTCAATACCTGGTTAAGGCAGTGGAGAACTTTCAGAGGAAAAATTAGCAGGAGATAACTGATAACTGACATCCATCAAACATGGCACGTGGAACTAGAACAGTCTACCCCAGTGATTGAAAGAAAGGGTTCAGTTTGAAATTCCAACCACCTGAAGAAGGCCGGAGCGTACAATGGCCGAAACGTTGTGACAAATATGGCGACAATTATTAATGTTGTTATAACAGGGAGATTGTTCCTGTGCAAAGACCCTCCCATTTTAAAACCATCCACACATAGATTATTGCACAAATATCCTGTACAGTTATGGACATCATCAGAATGATGGTCAACAAAGAGAAGCAAGTTTTTTTTCTCTTACAAATTTATGTTGTGAGAGCTACAGTAATTGGCAAGTATGAAAGAGCTTTGACCAGGTACTATAACTCATAACTTAACAGAAAAAAAAATGAGAGGCAACATACAACAATGGAGATGGGGCAAAGTTAAAGTGAAAAGAAGATTTATCTTTTATGTTGGGCAATATACAAAAATGATTAGAAAGTATTTCAGCATTCTGCCACATACGTAAAAGTTGGTATTGCCTTAAGAAAGATCTTGTGAGGAAAATACATATGTGTATGAGCTTTATCCTCGACTGCTTCATTTAACATAGTACTCATGATGTGCCTGGCTAAAATTGATGAAGAACAGGCAGATAGCTTGGATGAGCTTTCTGCCACAGAGTCAAATTGATGGTGGTTTATATATTTTTGGAGTGGCTGCAAAACAAAATGTTGGTTGAAGCTGCATGGATCTTTTATGATTGGTCAGAAAATATTTTTATTATGTTTTTAAATTTTTTTTTTGTCTCTGAAGTGGATGCACAGAATCAACAGTTTCAATCATTTGAATGATTTTAAGGAGAACACTACTGTCTTCATTGAAGAGTGGCAATTCCATTATTTTTCAATATTCTCTGTGAATTCTTAATGGCAAATGCTTGTTATCTTTACAAAGTTGTTAAAATGACAAAGAACATATTGAATTACTTGTTACTTTATCTCAGCACATTTGAAGAAATGTAGTGTTAAGTCCTACAATCAAATAGTTAGGAAATTTTTTTTTTTTTTTCATATTTCATGGAATTTTTTGGCTGAATGATAATAATGAAATATTTGGTAAATTGACAAATCTCTAATAAAGTTTCTTGGGTTTTTACAAGTACAGCAAAAATGAGACAATAAGTAGATGAATTGATTGTTGGAATTGTAGACAGTAAATTGTGTAATTTCCTTCAAATAACAAAACAATTTTTTTAAATATTTTCTGAAGATAATGAAAAAGAAATATATATATGCATATCAGAAGTTAATGCACAATGATAGAATGGATCTCCAACACTAGGAATAAATTAATGAATTTTACAAAGAAAGAACTATCTAATTTGAGTGCAGACATTAATTTCAATGTGTAAGTAGCCATTACAAATAAAGCAAGTAACAGAGTAAATGAGATAAGATTCTTTTCTTTCCTTTTATTTAACAACCTTTAAACCCAACTAAATATCAATTTGCTACTGTATATTCATAATTAAATAGACATTTATCAACAGATGTGAGAAAATTAATATCAATCAGCAGTTGGCAAATACATTTTGCCATTACACTGTCAGGGCCTATTTCCAGGAATGCCATTACTCAGAAAATTTATATATAGTCATATAATATTACCTGAAATTTATATAGCTTTGAGAATAGGTACAGAAACTCATAGCTACAAATATCTACAGAGGCACAGTTTTTGCTATGGGTAATTTATAGCAAGACAAGCAAATCACACAAGACATCAACAATGATGAGATAGAAGGAAGAATTAAAAAAAGATTAACCCAGTTGCATCTGGCTGAATTTCTTTTTTCTTGAAAGAATTGGTTGTGTGGCAGAATCTTGCACTTTAGACTAGATTTGTTCAGGCAACATTCAGTTTACCATTCATTACCCACCAAAATTTCAATTTCACCACATTCATGATAGTTTACCCTATTTGCTAACCTTTTCTCTTTCTGAGCCATACATAGAAGAAAAAACCTTGTAAGCTAAGAAAGGGAGTACTTCACTGAGCTTAGGGTGGAAAGATAAGTTATATGAGATAAGTATATGGAGTAAATTCAAGGTATCTATGAGTATAAGAAAATCAGAAATATAAATAATGAGTATAAATAAATCAGAAATATTATCAGAAAAACCCAAAAGTAGTAGTAAAACCGACAAAAAGTGACCAAAGAAAAAAATAGTAAAAAGAAAAACCAACACCCAATAAAACAAAAACCAAGAGAAAAACTGATAAAAGCAAAAAAAAGAAACATAAACTAAGAAAACACTTAAAGACCAACACTGACTTTCTATTGGTTTTGTTTTATTGG